TGTCCGACCGCCGGCTCGAGACCAACAAATCACTAAAGTTAGTTTGATTATTGCAAATGATAAGCCGACGCACTGAAAAACAGATACTTCAGATTTATGAAACGATTGATCGATGAAATGCGACATGTTGCGAGCGAGGAGAAGCAATTATGCAACTCTGCCCTGTGATATAGCCCTCAAGTCTATATAAACAAGCAATATGAAACAATGCAAGCAAAATCTGGATGCTACCTGACGAGTAGTTTCTTCTGCTACTCTCATTTATTACATGACAATACAGCCGGCGCTATTTCTCAAGCCTCCAAGCTTCATCTCACTAATGTAACAAAGACCACAGTCTGGACCCAACACGACCGCGGGGTCGGCCTTTGTGCTAGTCATGAGCTGATTGAGATCTACTGAAGCAAAATGACTTAATGTATTCTAATACGACCTCGTACAGGCAACCTTGAAGCATCAAGGTTTTCAGTTTTCAGGACACGATGAACAACACGGAGTACAAACACAAACAAACACAAACAGAGGCACAAGCACAAGCACAAGCACAGTGAGACGGCATGGCAAATTAAATCACCAAAGTAACATATCTTGGAAAGTTTATATTCATCAGCAGCGGCCCGTTCCCGTATCCATGTAAGCAAGGATATTCATCGAAAAGTAACAAGCCGTCCCATTGTAACCTTCTGCTTGGACTACCTAGACAACCATATGACTCGGATGCCGACATTTCCTGTCTCGGGCAAATACCACAGAACAATTTATGCTTCCGTCGCTTAAAGAAAGACAATGTCACTCATTTTCCTGCAACCATGCAAATCCACTATCGAAGGTCCCCTTTCCCACTTCATTACGTTTTTCTCCTCCCGAACCAAACTGGCGGACTCGTTCCAGGGTTGGATTTTTCCGCGTGGAGACCTGCCATTGAGAACGAGTCGGAAGCCCTGCTATACTCGGCAAGCGTCATGTAAGGGCAGAATGTAAACAATGCAAACCCCAGGACTTCATGTGTGAGCGTTTTCCTTGTACCGAGACTAAAGGTACCCACCCCGTGTAGAGGCTATTGCCACGCCGTTTGAACCGGTGGTAATTCTAACGCATGCGTTATGAAGCTCAAGCCTCTTTTTGTCTGTCAAAGCAACATGTCCGTATTCACTACTCCGTACTCCGTACTCCGGAATGTCTCACTCAACGCCTCGTGATCTGTGCACGGTATTTCTGTCGTGGAACTCGCTTTGGTTGTAGCTTTTAGCCCCTGAGTGAAGTGTGAGATGCGGTCCCTGCATCGGGTTCGCTACAGTAGGACTCGGCTGGACCGTTCCAGGGAGGAGGGATAGAGTTCAGGGGCCAGGGCTGCAAGGCAGACGCCCCCTGATCCTGATCCTGGCCCGGCTTAATCGGTCGGGCCAGGTTTTAAGAGATCTGAGTGCAGAAGAAATGTCTTGCTACAGGAATTGAATATCTAGACTGTTCACGTGAGAGTTAACCAGTCAATGGCAGGTATTCTATCCATTCACAGCCAAAGCAGGGAGTCTCACCAACCCCCCAAACTTTGCATTTGATAGAATTCATCAGTAAACCTCAACCCCACCCTCAGATAGATCGTGGCCTGTCACTCTCCGCTAGTACCTGCAATTGCGCGGATCCATCCATTGCTTCGTTCGCGTCATCGTTAGTTTCATTACCCTTGCGAATAAACCGAGCGTCTTGTCTCCTTTGGGTCAAGCAGCTCGTCCGAGAAGGTTGCGCAGAAGCTTCTCTAACCAGGGAGAGCAGCAGCTCACTTTCCATGTTGTCCTCTCGACCAATTCACCACAAAAGTCTATAGCCCCTAGAAATAAGTCCCATTCTTGGACTTGCATTAGCTCCGTCAAACGTCTCATGCCGTGACGTTTCTGTTTCTCCCTTGCGTCTCTCTGTACCAAAAGTCTAAAAGACGCCTGTTTTCCTTTCTTTTCCAACCATCGCCCTCGCTGCCCCCTCCCGCGCATGCTTTTTATTTCAGGTCGGAATGCTCACGGCGGGTCCTTGATGCCTCACCTTTTATCATCTTTTAATTGCTTATGTGTCTGGTCGAGTTGTTGATAAACCCCACGCTGTATCGCGAATCTCTTTCTTGACGCCGATCTGCCATATGGCAGGGCAAAGGCGATCATCATGGGCTTCTTTAGCAACCTCTTTGCGCGCAAGTCGAATGGAAATCGTGCTTCGATCAAGGCTCAAGCCTACAATTCTACTGTAGCTGCTGTGCCGCCAATCCAAGGTAGATATCGCTGTCCAACATGCTGTGCGATTCATCTAACATTATGTAGGAACATACCCGGTTGCTGGAAATGGACCAAACGTCTTGGATCAATTGCAACGAGCAGCCAGAAAACGAAGTCGAGCTCAGCTCTCCACGGTGTCACACAATGTCGACCACAACCGTGACCATGATTCTGCCGCGCCTCCTCCCATGGTTTCCAGATTCAGAGGCATATCTCCCTCGCGACCAACCACAGCACCAAACCAAGTTAACAACCAAACCTCACGACCTCTTTCCATCTCGCGTAGTATCCGCAGCTCCAATTCAGCCTGGAGTGTTCCCGAGAAACCTACACGAGGTCGCACCGAGAAACCGCCTCCAGTACCATCCATCCCGACTCGTCACCGCCGCGAAAGCTCAACCGATTCGTTCCAGGACAAGCGCAACTCGTTTATCGACATCCTCGACGCCCAGGGAGAATTCAAGCCATCAAACTTTCGTTCGCGCGTGGCAGCGGCCGGTGTAAGAGAATTTGGGGAAGACGTTGCTGAGAGGAACCTGGGCGAGAATGGCGTGAACCTTAATAGCAACGCCGCAAAAGCCTTCTACCGCCTCTCGGGGAGTGGGAATCTCGCGCTGCCTCCTCGTGAGGAACGACCGTACGAGTACGACTACGAGGACGATGACGATGATGATTGTGCGCCCGCACCAGGTGTTCCTCACGGTGACATGGGAATAAGACGAAAGAGTTGGTCCAGACCAACAAGTTCATCAGCATGGAAGTCGTTCTCAGGGCCACTTAACAACGATTTGTTGAGGTCAAGCAAATCAAATCTCCGTGAAAGACGACCAGAGACATCCCAATCGCTTACCCCAGCAACGTTATCCAAAAAGGATCGGAGAAGATCCTTCAACGCATTTGCTTCTCCACCAGAGCAAGAACACCGTAAGCCTAGACCTCTCAGTCTACATCCATCAATGTCCAGCTTTTCCTACGAAATACCAATATCACCGCCTTCCTCACCACCACCAGTACAACGATCTTATCCAGCGACCAACGAAGGCCGCAGCCGACGAAAGAGTTTCGGTCGCATTGAGATAGATACCGTCGACGAGGCCTATGATGAGCCTGCGCCATTTCCAATTGTTCCAGCGCGGTTCAAGCCTGAGCAACGGTCCAGCATGTATCTCGAACCAAACTACCGTTATGATCGTAACGACGTACACCACCCACGCCCAGAATCATACCACGGAGGATCAACTCTCTCATCCTATCCCCGTAGCGAAATCTCTCAACCCTCTCGCCCCTCGAGCTCTTCATCCATCGACAAGTCCTTCCCTCGATCGCGCACTATGGGCAGTGTTGCTATAAGAAACCAACGTCTTGATGACATTAACGAGCACATTCCCACACGAACATCATCCTTAAACCAATTGCAAACATGCGTTACACCAACAACAATGTCCTCTGGCTTCTCGAGCAATTTAAATCCCATTTCCGTAGGTCATCACACACCAAGCACATCCCTTGATGCATCTCTACCTCCATCGATAAAGACGAAATTGGAGCACGAGCAAAGTGCAGTGAATCAAGACAGCTTTTATCTCCCGACCGAAGAGGACTATCCCACTGGTACACTAGTCCCTTCACGTATCGACATTGAGCGAAACCTCGGCCATCCTATAAACGCAGGCGTTGATATGGACCTCTACCTATCCGACGCAAGCGAAGACTCAGTGGACTCTTTCGTAGCCTGGAAAGAGAAGCGCCGTAACGAGGAGGGTCTTTTGATGAAGGACAACTACGGCAAAACTGGGGATGGTCTCCCTGGTCTGTTTGAGCCTTTCTCCGGTTTTGATGCTCCAGCTGAACCTCTCCCTATACCCAAAGTCCCATCCGAGCCAGTTGTCTCCAAACGGCCCAAAACACCAAAAAGCCCTCTCCGAACCAGCTCACGAAGTAACAAATCTACACCTCGACGATCAATTCGGAGCAATCGTCAAACCCACAGTAATACCAACACCCCTCTTCGTAACCACCGAAGCCCCTCACACAAAGATGAAGATGCAGACTCATTCTGGGAGAGCGATATCCCTCAAGGTCCAGGTTTCGTCTCTCTCGCCGATATCGGTATTGACCTTCGCGAACTGGGCTGGGATCAGTACGGCCTGACAGAGGCCGACGATGCTAAGGTGGATATGCAGACAGCCATCAAGCTTCGCAAGGCGATGAAGAAGAGAGAGCGGCAACGGCGGAAGGACGAGGAAGGGTGTGCAGCTGATACAGAGGATTGATGAATGAGTTATGAAGCGTATGGAGTTTGGGATCAGGATCGACCACACTTTTCAGATTTTCTTTTGTATACTGTATTTTGGTGTGTCTAGGATATGGCCTGGTGTGTTCGTATAGGTCGGGGTTCATAGGCCATGGAAGGCTGTTTTGTGTGATGGTTATAGCCTAGTGATTGATACCAATGTGCATATTACATTTGTTTAGACTTCAACCATCCTCTGGCTCCTTTTCCCTACGGGTGCCCCGCCGTGTGTACTTCCCCGGTTAGTCCGTTTACCCAACCATTACTACCTGAGTTTAAATCGCGACTAGCAATTCAACACTCCCGAGAGTTTGTACTGCCCACCACAAAGAGAGCAATCTTCAACTAAACAGCTGATGACATAGAAAAGCATCAACACCGACGTGATTTCCAGGAGAAATCATCATATGCTCTGCTTAGCAGCTGACAAACAACAACAAACGGCCCCGTTAGCTCAGTGGTAGAGCGTGTCACTCGTAATGACAAGGTCCATGGTTCAATCCCGTGTCGGGGCTAGAATAACATGAATCCATGATGTTTCCCTTTTGCCAATGATGATTCTTTTTATCATTTGGTTAAATGGTTCAATTGGTTTGTCGACACGATTGACGCCGACGTCGGAATCGGTCTGATGCGCTAGGTCGACTTGGTAAGAATGGGATATATCTGTGAAGATATCTAAGATGTCTGGAGGAGTTTGTTAGAGTGACTTATAATCAAGAAGATTCCATATGCTATTGCGATGGCTTGCTGACTTACATACAAACATGAACAACATGTTACACTATGTCGAATATCTCGACAATAGTATCCTCGTAAGTAGGTTCGTATTCCACCGATATATAGCAGTGTGCGGATCCAGTTTCCATCCATAAGAGAGTCTGACAAGGTAAGCTGATATCGTGTCCAGGCTGTGTTTGCCGACGATATTGCGGTCTACAGCGGTAGGTTTGAAGGCATACACTTACATTCATGGATCGCTTTAGCTTCTTCCTCAACTTACCAGTAGCCCACGGCTGGTTACATATACATCTTCTAATGCCATCCAAGTTTTGTCTTTGCAATCTGTTTGTACGAGCAAAGTAGCGGACGGCACCTCAGGCAACCAGATTGGCAAAAAGATAGAAGGCAGTTGCGGCTGACACTGCCTTCAGGTGTTTGCCGTTGCACCAAGGCAACTATCCGCACATTTATTCTTCATCCCAACCCCCGTCTTCCATCTCTTGTCTATAAATCTTGATCTACCCTCTTTGTCTATTCATAGACACCGACTGTCGATATCCCACCGACCCTCAAACCTTGACCAACACTCCAGTTTCACATTGAATATCCAGCATCCCAACATGGCATCAGAGGATGGCGATACCTTACCAACGTCGCAAGCAAGTATGCTAGGAAAAACCTCTCGTCAAGAACAAGGACACTCGGAAGGTCAGCCTAGCGACTCTCATGATGAATTAACTAGAGACACAACAAACGAAGAACCAACAGCAGGCGCTGATGAGCCCGAGTACATCGACACGGACGACGAAGATGACCGTTATGGTTTAGTCGTTCACCCTTCGAAGCCTCGAAAAATATCAGAAAAGAAGCTTCGCGACCATGCTGTTTTGCAGGCATACATAGAAAAGACCCAGAATGAAGTCGCAAAGAGCGCCGTTGCCACGTTCAGTGACCCTGACAAGCAGTCACTTGCTCAACTCATCCACTTGAGCGAGAGTCGGAAGATCATTGCAACCCCTCGAGAATATCAGCTTGAACTTTTCGAGCGGGCCAAAGAGAAAAACATTATCGTGGTTCTACCTACAGGTAAATCCGCCTTCGATCTTTTGGATTCATACTGATGGCCACAGGTTCTGGCAAAACACTCATCTCTGCTTTACTACTCAGACACCATCTCGATCAAGAAATGGAATCCAGAGCTCTGGGGAGTCCCAAGAAAGTGGCGTTCTTTTTGGTGGAAAAGGTCGCCCTCTACGTTCAACAACACACTGTCCTCAGCTGCAACCTTGGAGACTACCCAGTCGCAAAGTTCATGGGCGACACAACCGGCTTGGCGAAGAACAAGGAGTATTGGGATACCCAGTTCAGCGAAAACATGGTTATTGTCTGTACTGCCCAGATATTTCTCGATTGCCTAAATAATGGCTTTATCACTATGTCGCAGATCAACCTTCTCGTCTTTGACGAAGCACACCACGCCAAGAAGGAGCACCCGTACGCTCGTATAATGCGACTGCACTACTATTGTCACAAAGGCGAGCGACCTCGAATCCTGGGCATGACTGCTTCACCTGTAGACTCCCACACCACAGACGTTAGAGTGACGGCCCTCGAGCTGGAACGAGCCTTGGATTGTGAGATCACGACGGTTTCCGACGAGGTTCTTGCGGAGTCTATGGCTCGTCAGAAACAAGTGGAAGAGACAGTCGAGTACAAAACACTTGACTCCCCTGAAGATACCAAGACACCGCTGTGGGATTCTATCCTCAAACAGATATCTCGAAATGAGTTATTCAAGGCATCCCTTGACTTTACCAAAGAATGCTCCTCAGTCCTTGGCCCTTGGTGTGCAGATAGGTATTGGCAGCTTTCAATCACTGAAGTTGAGACGGAACGACTTGAGAACAGAACAGGTGACACCTTCTATGGAGACAAAACCGTCACCAGATCAGACAAAGCAACAGAGGCAGTCAGACGCGTTCGGGAAATCGTCGAGGACCATAAATTTGGAACAATCGAGCCCGGGTCTAACGGACTGTCTTCCAAAGTGAAGAGTCTGCATGAAATCTTAGTCCACGCTTTTACCGTGGATGATACAAAACGCTGTATTGTATTTGTGGAGAAGAGGTCTGTAGCTTCTCTACTCTCTGATCTTTTTAACCAGACCTCCATGAGGATTCCGAGAATGACCGCATCATACATGGTGAGTTTAACGTACCAGAAGTTACAAAATCTGACGGCTATAGGTTGGGGGGCAATCTGGCAGATTGGCCTTTGGCAGAATGTCCTTTCGAGACCAAGTCTTGACCCTCCAAAAGTTCAAGCAAGGCGACATCAACTGTCTCTTCGCAACACAAGTCGCGGAAGAGGGCATTGACGTTCCAGACTGCGATTTGATCATTCGTTTCGATCTCTACAAATCCGTCATCCAGTATGTACAATCCAAAGGGCGTGCCAGACAGGCACATTCGCGCTACATTACTATGCTAGAGAAAGACAACATGAGAGATCTTCGCAGTCTGAGGCAAGCGACAAGAGATGCAATGGCACTCCAAAAGTTCTGTCAAGCTCTACCTCCTGACAGGAAATTACAAGATGACTCATTTGATGAGATGCTGGAGATTCAGAACGAACTGATACAGCAGCAAGTGTATGAGATACCTTCAACAGGGGCACGTCTTACCTTTGCCTCGAGTCTTGAGATCCTCACCCGGTTTGCTTCCCGGCTTGAAGATTGCGACAAAGTCGAATACCATGTTCAGAGAACGGGAACCAGGTATCAAGCTGACGTCTCTCTGCCTCTAAGTTCCCCGGTCAACTTTGAGACAGGCCGACCACAGCGTAGCAAATTGTTGGCCAAGTGTTCTGCAGCTTTCGAAGCTTGCAAGAAGTTGATAAAAGGCAAATATCTTGATGGAAACCTTCAGCCTATTTTCACGAAGAAAGTTCATCACATGCGCAACGCTCGCTTGGCTATTAGCTCGAACAAGAAATCCGAATACAACATGCGTTTAAGGCCTGATATCTGGGCCGAGCGAGGAGAGTGGACAGAATTCTTCGCAATTACAATTACCCTTGATAATACGAGTGTAGTCGCAGAGAACCTGACAAAATGTTCGATAATTCTCCTGTCGCGCAAGCAACTACCTGACTTGCCTCAGATTCCTCTTTTCTTCGGCAATGGACGTTCTTCTATTGCTCGATTAACATCCTCCAAGGATTCTTTCCAGGTGACCTCTGAAGAAGCCGATGGCTTAGCCAAATTTACCCTGAGAGTCTTTGCCGACGTCTTCAGCAAAGAATATGAAGCAACACGCGACCAGTTTCCATATCTACTCGCTCCCGTTAGCCAAGAGAGTAGTGACTCGGCCGAAACTAGATCACGCATCGATTGGGATACTGTTGATCTTGTCAAGGATCACGAGACCCTTGACTGGGAGAACGCCCCGGAAGAATTCTTTATGGACAAGCTGGTGACTGATCCGTATGACGGAGGACGCAAGCTTATCATAAAAGGTATAGACAAGACGAAGAAGCCTTCCGATCCTACACCCGAAGGGGTACCTGAGTCAAGAAGTCGGGCTTACAGGACGGTCGAGCCAACCATCAAGGAGTACAGTAACAGTCTGTATCAAAAGTCACGTTTGAGGGTACAGTGGCGAGAGGATCAGCCCGTGGTAAAAGCCGAGTTGTTACCCCTGAGAAGGAATTTGCTGGATGAGTTTCAAGTCGATGAGGAGATCAGCAAGAATTGCTTCATTATTCTAGAGCCTCTAAAGGTGTCACCTGTAAGTTAAATGTCATTCTTTTGAGTATCGCTAATCTGTCCAGTTACCCATCGGTGTTGTGTACATGGCCTTGACCTTTCCAGCAATTATCCATAGGATAGACTCTGCCTTAGTCACTCTGGATGCGTGTGATCTTCTTGGCATCTCTCTTTCACCAGACCTAGCGCTAGAAGCAATGACCAAAGACAGCGACAACACTGATGAGCATGGCAAGCAGCAGATCAACTTCCAAGCTGGTATGGGCCGGAACTATGAGCGATTAGAGTTCCTTGGAGACTGTTTTCTCAAGATGGCCACTACGATCTCGATTTACACAGTCCAGTCTAAAGGTGACGAATGTCACTACCATGTTGAACGCATGATCCTCATCACCAATCAGACGCTTTTCAACAATGCTGTCGATTGCAAGCTTCAAGAGTATATACGATCGAAATCTTTCGACAGACGCACTTGGTATCCCGACCTGCCACTCAAAAAAGGAAAAGCGCCTAAAACAACAGTACAACACAACCTGGCTGACAAGACCATTGCTGACGTCTGTGAAGCGCTGATTGGAGCTTCTTATCTCATGGGTCAGGAGGACAGCATGGATCTGGCTGTTCGAGCTGTGACTCGTATGGTAAAGTCTAAGAACCACAAGATGGAGGTCTTTGCTGATTATTTTGCCTCGCACAATGCTCCGGCATGGCAAATAGCTGATGCCAACCGGAAGCAACGCGATCTCGCGCAGAAGATAGCGGATACCACGGGCTATGTGTTCAAGCATCCACCGCTAGTTCAGAGTGCATTCAAACATCCGTCTATCCAAGGAGGGGGAATACCAAACTATCAGCGCCTTGAATTTCTGGGTGACTCCCTCCTAGATATGGCTATCGTTGACTATCTGTATCGAAGCTTCCCACGGGCAGATCCCCAGTGGCTGTCGGAACACAAGCAGGCCATGGCCTCCAACCAATTCCTCGGATGCCTCTGCATCAAACTTGGCCTTTACAAAATTCTCCAAA